AGGTCTCTGTACTTCCCTGAAATTCGCGGAACATCTTAAGAATTCTCGATTTGTTTTTCAGCACATCCTGGAACTATCTTGAATTTATCTAAATTTACGATTATAGATTTTTAATCTATCTAGCTTTTCTGAGGTGCTTAGAACTTCTTAAAAATTTGCACAATACCCCTCAAGTTTTCTAAATTTCTCAAGTTCGCTTGACACCCATGAAGTTCTCTGAAATTCTAGGAACTTCATAAAAGAACCGCTTTGAGGTTCTTACAGCTTCTAGTAAGTTTCCCATATTTTCAGCGTGTTAACTTCCTTTACGTTCCTACAATTTGTTTATAGAGCTTCATTGAAATTCTCAGCATTTCCTTTCATTCCTCAGAGCTTCTCCAAAGTTCCTACAATTGTTGTAAAGTTGATGGGACTGCATTGAAGATCTCTAATCTTTCACAAAGTTAATTACGAACTTGAAATAAATCATTTATTTGTTTACTTAATTTTGTCATTTTGAATATTTTTAATATCTTGAACTTGTACATGGAATACGAAACTTCAAAACATTGAATACTTTTAGATCTTGGACTTACTTACTTGGAAAACTCAGGTAATTTTACCCAGAAAAATGAGTAGACATCCTGTGTATAGAGAAAGACGATTAAACGTCACAACTCAAAGAATAATCAATCTTGAAATAAATTCACGCTAAAAAAATTGAAAATAGTGACTTATTACAAGAAAAAGTGACTTTAGTGACTTGGCCTTAAAAAAAGAGACTTTTTTTTTGACTGACTTAAAAAAAGTGACCAAGTCACTAAAAAGTGACTCACTACCAGCCCTGCTATATTTCTGGCAGTGAACAGTTTAATTCCGAAATGACAGTCTAGGAGGGACCAAGAGTAACAAACGTTCTTATAGTGATAACTCCAACCCGTGACCAGATAGAAAGTTCCTATCTTCATCACATTTGTTCAGCTGAACATAATCCGTTTGCCAGTGGACAGCGTAGTTCGGAATCACCTCGTCAAGTGGCGCTAGATTGCAAATTATGATCACCACTGGAAATTTTACATTAGTATATTTTTTATTTAGACCGAGATAACCAGGATTATATTTTGAAGGTGGTACTCCGGCTATAGTGAATCCGATCAAGTTGAAAACATATTGATATTGGTATTTGAATTCAGAATCAAAGTACATACTAGCTAGGTGGCAGAAGAGTTAAGTAAAATTTTAGAAGTTTTCTCCCTTGATTCAGACATTAAAAAAAAACTATTTCATCATCGATTTCTGAAAATAAGTAAAGACCCACTTTAAGCATTATTCGACTACTTAATCTTTTGCTGTATTAAAAGTTCCGTGCACTGTCACCATGTCAACCCAAAACTCAGCTCCCCCGAAAACCATTTGTTAAAAAGGTCGAATGTTTTCCGCCCAAATTCCACACCAGTCAGCAATCCCAAAATCATAAAACCGACCGACCAAAGGTCCAGTGGCAGACGTCGGGAACCCACCAGCTGCTTAATGAATTAAACTTTCCCACCTTTGAGGAGACCATGATTTACATTTGCTCGTAAAACCCAATCTTGAACCCCGGAGGAGCCCAGTTACTAATTTGAATTTTAATTTATTGAAATCCCATGCTTTTCGTACCTCTCTCTCTTTTTGAACACCACCTACCGGACTCATAATTGCCATCTTCTTCCAGCTTCCTTGAGCAACCCAATTAGGCTTTGCGAGACATAATCACATCGTCCGCTATTAGGAGGACAATACCGCGTGGTAGGCTTAATTGTAATCGACATATTAAAAATAATGAATTTACGATCCCCCTTATCCAGCAAAGCCCGGAGCAAAAATCGGGGAAATTTTTTGGACACCCGGCCCGGCCAAGGGCTGACGGGGGGAGCAAATCGAAAAATAAACATTTTCGTTCGATTTTCATTATTTACTTTGCGGTGGGGCATCATAAAGCCCCGGGAGAGTCAAAACAGCCAGAAGCCATCAGTTTAAATTTCGCTTTTTATGAAGGAAGATTGGGGTGATGTGAGAAGACTCGAACAGCTTCTGGCCATTAGTATTCAATATCGCCAGTGAGCTTTATCGGCTGCTCTGTTCCATCTTTTGTTTTGCTTTCATCGAGTCTCCTGAGTGCGGTTCAGGTGAGAGAATGGAAATCACACAGCATTATGATCAACCTATCGTTCAATTTCATTGGTTATCTCGTTTCGTGATAAAAGGTGCCATCAAAATCCCATGCTGCTAGTGTCAAATGAATCTCCGAATAATTTGAAATGATAAAGATGCTTAGAACCGTTGAAATCCTCTATTCCAAATCGAACAAAAGCGAAGGTTGAGGCACCTAAATAAAGTGGGCGGCATTTGTTTGTATTTCGCCAACACAATCTTCCCCGGTGCCATTGAGATGGCCGGAGAGATAGCTAGAGGAAAGCACACTCGGAATCTTTATTCATAAGAACGCTAAGGAGAACCGTCACCGGGTTTTTTTATTCTCAACAAAAGCGATGAGACGCATGGCTTAATATGGATCTAGCTCTCAGGATGCTGCAAAGTGGAAGTGGAAACTCAGCAAAGTTGATCCTTCTTTCGCAGGATTTTCCATCATTCCAAGGTTAGAATGAATGAATGAATGAACGAACGAAAAAGCGAACATGCGAATGGATCTGACTTGGAATGAGTATTTTATGCTACGGTAAAATTAACGACTTCTCTTTGCTTCCTCCCTTTTGCTTGATGGGGGAGGGGAGGCGAATTTTGTTTATGGAAATTCGTAAATCGAACAAAAGTCCGCTACTGGAGCATTTTTTTCTTTGTCTGGGTTGATGGCATCAGAAGGGAATGACAGTATTTTTTTGATTTATGATAGCACATCAAATTTGATGCGAAAACTGTAGATGTAATTGTAACTATTCGTTGGTTTGTAATTCAGCCAACATATTTAAATAAAAGCACAAATTTGACGATGAACCATTTCGAGATGTAACGGCGCCGGTGGTGTAGTGGTAAGCGTGCCTGGTAAGCAGGCCTGGGTTCAATCCCAGTCGACGCCGCCGGGATGTTCTGAGGCATAACATCTCTGATCACGCCTTCCTTCGGATGGGAAGTAAAGCCGTTGGTCCCCGGTTCATGAGTTTATGGGTCGATAGGTAGGGTCCAGGTGTGGGAGCTGCCTTCCTGGCACGTCGGTAGCATTGGTGCTCAGCACGGAAAACAAGATCGACGGAAAAAACAAACCAAAGAAAAAAAAAAATTCGAGATGTGTAATGAATGTATGCAACGGAAAATGAGCAATGGGTTCGCCAACTCAGATTCCAAAATAGTGCTGGACATCAATTTCCGGTATCCACACATGTTCCCTGTTAAATTTTTTTTTTTTTGTAATTAAAGGATATCTGACACTTCTGGAAACTCAATTCCAAAATGGCAACAAGCATTGATTTTAGGCTTGTGCTTCGACAAAACATTATGGAAGCGTCCAGGCCAGTCGCACAGGTGGATCGCGAAACAGTTTGAAATCGACAATTCGACCGTGTTCCGTGTGGTGAATAAGAAGAAGAAGGAGGTTGAATAAACCAACTTTGCATAGCTAATATGTGTTTATTTATTTCCTGAGAGTTTCAAAAATATCCGACTTAAAATGAATTTTTGGTGATCATTTTTGACTGTTGCATTTTTTTTTAGTACAGTCTTTATGCACATTGTAAGAAACGGTCACTGTTTATAAACCCGGACATTGGCTTTTTAGAATCTTAAATAGTTGGTTGGAAATGCTATCTAACATGAAGCATAAGTGTGATGATTTATTAGCTAGAGAAAGGTCTGAAGAGGGTAGGTTGATAGTTCCGCTAGAGTATGGCAGTATGAAAATTGAATAGTAATAGAAAATGAGCTAAGAACCATTAATGCGACAGTACTAGTCATACGCACACTCCCTTACCTTACGCATACATTAATGGATGAGGAGACTTGAAGTATTTCTTCAAATTTAGAGGCATTTCAAGCGTGAGATTTTTGCCAGATACGCATGTGAGTCTTTTCTTTCAGAAAGCGTTAATGAATGAGGTTTGAGAATGATTTTCCAAACACTGCGTATTACAAAAACATTCTGAGCTAAAAGCTAGATTTGGGAAGTATTTCAGGAGAATATATCTTCAATCATAATTCTGAGTAAATTTTTTAGCGATTTTGAAAAGCATTCCACGAAGTTGAATTCTAGGAATATTTTAGGGCAAAATGGAGCTCTGCTGATAATTTCAAAGGAATATTACGAACAATTTCGAGTGATTTGAATATGAGACATTATTCCAAACAAATCTACGCAGAATTTAAAAAAATATAGAAGGGTTTCAAGGTAATTCAAAAGAGAATTCTCATGGAATTCCGAAGATAGCTTCAAAACGGTTTTAAGGAGAAATCCTAGGGAATATATAGGACAGCAACAAACGAATACCGAGAAGAAATCCCAACAACTAATTTTAGCTGCATATCGGCTTATACAGATAAAAATTAGCATTTGCAGCTAATTTTTGCTATTATCAGCTATGCTGCAGCTACAATTGTTTGTTGTCATGGCATTCTTGGAAATATTACAGAGCGAAACATTTAGGTCATTCCCTCGGGTATTTTCAGGAGATTTGGAAATCAATTCCAACATAATGTTCTGCAATTAATCCAAAGAAAATCTGAGGTGAATTCTTAAAGAATAAGAATAATTCTGAAGTTTAAACCATGAAGTATATACTGAAGCCAATGTCAGGATTTCGAAAAGAAAATTCAAAATTATGAGCCTTAAAATAAAATGTTTACCCTGCTATTTCAAAACATGGCTACGCTTCTGTAGCGAGCATTTTGCAGTATGCAGTGTTCATACACAGACTGTGTATAATATATACAGAACCGTTAACACAGATACCACTTAAGCGAAGGTTTGTACTTTACAACCAATTCCCATCGACCGTAGCATCAAACAAATACAACCAAATCATGACACTCACCTTGCTGTCCCTGGAAGCTGATGATGACCCAGAAATCGATCGTCTTCTCCGGTCCGAGTTCCTCGTAGTCCCACTTCTTCTTAACCCGCACGGCGCCATTCGTTTCGACCGTGACCCACGGGTTCTCGTCGCGGATCTTGAACGTTTCCTTGTCGGTTTCCTTCTCCAGCTGGAACACATTGCGACCTTCCGTATCACCGTCGGCTTCGGTAAACTCGATTCTCTTGGTAGGCCGAACGGCTCGCGTAACCCGACGTTTGTCGCGACGGTGCGAATGCTGGTACTCGTGTCCCATGTGCTGCATCACCACCGGAATTGGATCCGGAGCGACGAACTCGATCAGGACCCGAGCGGGTTTTTCGCTTTTCAAGCTGGGCGTGCGGATGTCATGTGCCTCAACGTCGATAAACAGTTCCGACGTGTCCGGTTCTCCGGCCAGCAGAAGTTCACCAGTTTGTGGGACGATCACGACCGTATTGCTAGGGCTAGTCAGACGGTACGCAACCTTATCGCCATCGGCGTCCTTGGCTTCGACCTTTCCGACGCTAGTGAACCGTTCCCAGGAAATGGTTTCATTACCATAATTATCCGTTGACTTGACGCCGTTGACCATGAAGCGATAGTCCGGCTTGGTGAAGATTGGATGGTTGTCATTGACGTCGATGATTTTGATTTGCAGCTTAACTTGAGCTTTGTTGATTTTCTTCGGATCCGTAGCCACGACCACAACCGTATACTTGTCTTTAGATTCGCGATCCAGTGGCTTGTTGGAAACGAGCCAAACACCGTGCTTTCGTGTGTCGTCGATGCGAACAGTGTGCTTGATCTCACCGGTGCTACTGTCCTCAAGGGCGAATTCATGACCGTCGTTACCGTTACCGATCGCGTAAATAACCGATTTGGCACCGCGCGCGGAATTTGCCTGTAGGAGCGGAAGTTCGCGAACTCGCGTACCGGCGTTCTTGTTTTCGATTAATTCACCGACCGTTTCGCCGAGGGTACTGGGGAAGTGTAGCATGTCCTTACGGTTCATAATGTACAGCTGTAGCTGGTGTGTGGCAGTGGAGTTCGGAGTCTCCTCCAGGACGACCAGTTTCACCGGTCGGTTGACTAGTGGGGAGAGATCCGAGGTCGTCATGACCATACCATCGTCCAGGACGGTAAAGTACTTGGAGTAGTCGGTCTCGAGCAGCCGGTAGTTGAGCGGCTTGGACGAGTAGGTCGAAATCGACGAGAAGGGGGAGTTTGGGCTGGTGAAGTTTGCGGTGAACTTCTGGATGCTGTAGCCGGGATATGTATCATGAGGCAGGACTATGCTAATGAAGTTGTTCGTTGGATCGAACTTGAACTCTTCGCTACTTGCGCTATGATGGCGATGGTGCTTACACGATACTATGACAACATTAAGGTTAAACACTAACACTACTATGATGGCTAACATTGAAACACTGAATAATTTAGATCGATGGCTGCGTTGCACTGTAGTCGGTCGGCTGGCGACCTGGACCGGACTACTCGGTCGCCGCATTCTGTCTGCGGCTCCGAGGTTCCACATTTTACTGGTTTCTTGCTCCGTACTCTTCGCTTGCACTTATCTTTTCTTCTTCTATGATTAATTTAAATCTAGATCTTCATTCACTAGGGAAACCTCTTACGGTTTAGCACACGGAAAACACGCACTAACGGCTGTCGTTTATCTTACAAACTAACAACACACTCGCGGGCTGCTGAGGCATCTTGTCGACGTCGACGTCGTCGTCGTTGTTGTTGTTGTTAGTGCTTACGAAATCACCTGCAATGAAGAAAGAGAGAATAGGCGTTAGCTAACACTTGGATATTACCACCGGAAAACCTTCAAATGATCGATTAGCAGAAGATTCGATGAAATTGAGATCACACCACTTGTTGGGTTGTTGGCGCGATAGATTGGGATCAAACCTCAAGTGGTTGATTGGCCTCATATCTCTCCCGCGGAAATCCATCGACGCAAGAAACCGCACTTGACTGATCGATCTGCTCAAACCCAACAGCTGGAGGCGGTTAGTTCAACTATCTCTGCAGCATTGCAAATGCTAGTTCCAAGAAGATCAATGACTAATAGGGTTACCATCCGGTGTTCTTTGAATTATAATTGATACAGAATCAAATGGTAACTCCCGATCAAATATCATTGCAGAAAGACTTCTGCAGAATCACGTGGTCCAGGCTAACCGTTCCAGTATATTAAATTCCATTCTTCTGCTCGTTTCACTCGCGGTCTCTCACGTGGAAGCAACGAATTAAATTATAACGCAGCTAGGGAAGAAGCAAAACACAGGCAACACCATGTCTGGGCCTGCGTATGATGAGATTATTCTACCCACAAGCAGTTTCATCTCCAGCTAAAAAAAAATCGAAGATGAAATCGACAAACGAAAACCACAATAACAACACCAATAGCAGTAGCATCTTTCGAAGATTGGATCAATTCTCGAGCGCCTCACCGGAAATTGGGCGAGTAAATTAACGGCAGAATGCCTTCCTCTCAAAAGCGAACGCAGAACTTTGACCTCCGTGGATGGGGATTGAGCAGCTACGTTCTAGATTTAGAACCCAAATCCGCTTCTAGGGAAATTCATTTGTATCTCATCTTCTCCATCTGCGAACAAACTAAAGAAAAAAGAAAGAACAATCGTCCCGAAAACATGATTAAATATTTAAATGCGAGTAATGAAAGCCCACCACCATCAGCCGTTCTACAATTGTCTCACGGTTTGGCACCTGTTCGTCTCCAGTTCAGGACCACCGTGCGTTGTCGTAGTCGTCACGTCGTCCTTGTCGGGCCTGACCCATTCGAATTCAGACGTCGGCAGGAAGAGGAAAGAACTTAATTAAAATTTGCATGAGATTGGCCCTCTCTTCGGGAGAATACAATAACGGCCCAACCGCACACGGACGTTGAATTTCAATCAAAATCTTCATTCGTAATTAATTCATCCGTAGCTAAGCGCGCGGCTAGCGGACGAATGGATCGACTTTCTTCCACTAACCACGTGAGTGTAGGGAAATGTTACCGAGTTTTGCTCCAGTACAAATATTGAACGCGATGGGAAACTGATACCTGGTTGGAGGTTGTCGACGAGGATCGGATGATGATGACGATGGGAACAAATTAGATGAGGAAATGTTAGTGGAATTGTCATATAGCATTAAGAATCGGTCGTTCCACCACCGGATGGATTGGATTTCAAGCAGTTGTCGTGGCAGTAAGTTGTGACATGTGAAACGCGAGCCTTACCAACCAAGGCGGTGGTGGCTTTCGCTTTTTTTTCCGAAAAGGCAGCGGCAGCTACAGCGTAAACATATGATGTTATTCGGTTACCTGCTGCTTCTTGAATGGGTTTGTTTGGCTCTTAACGCAGGGAGAAGAGGTTTGCTTTAACATTTGTTTTGCCAATGGGATAGAGTTGTCTGGTTTGATGGAGATTGAGATAATGTTTAGATTAGCATGCCGATTGCAGTTAAATTCGGCAATTTTTGGTCATAGATCAGGGTTTCAAAATTAATGATGGACACATTGTAAGGTTAACTTATGATTTTTATTATACACCTACAATTCAACTGGACGAACTTTTCGGGAATTTGAAGTGTAGAGTTGTTCTTAATGATGCTCATAACCTATTGGAAATATCACCTTTCCCATCATTATTTGGATATGTTCAGGCCAAGCCTATCGGCTCTGTCTTCCTTCTCGGTAGTGACAGCAGTATGTACTCGATGAGAGGATGCAGTTCACCCAATTCCACTTTTGTCTTCTACGCCACTCCTGTCACCATCTATCGAGTCCTTTTTTCTCCTTCACCCTCATTTTTCCGAATATTGTACATTTGATTCTATGATCTCCAGAGCAATAAACGCAGACTGGTCCACCTATGCACTCATGATCGTTTTCCACTGCACTTATGCTTACTTTTACCGAGTTAGGAAGAACTGCTCATGCTTATATCAACATGAAGCTTTAGTGCGATTATTTATTAGCTAGAGAAATTTCTGAAGAGAAAAGATTGATAGTTCCGCTAGAGTATGGCAGTGTAGAAATTGAACAGAAGTTGAAATTTAGCGAAAGGTCATTAATGCGACAATACTAATCAAACACACACTCCTTTACCTAGCTCATACATCGATAGATGAGGGGATTTGAGAAATGACCTCAAATCCACAGGCAGAAGAGTGCTCGTTTGACTTGTTCATATACTGTCTGCGGTTGTGGAATAGTTCTAGCGATGTTTATCATTACCTAAATCCCCCCCCCAAGACGAGAGTAACCATCACGAAAGCTCATGATGGGGATGATGTTATGGGTAAGCATTCATATTTCTACAAATGTTCGCCCATTTTGAATCTTGTTTTTTTTTTATGGCGTCATTGCAGAACGAAAACGAAATGACTTCTGAAACAAAGTTGTATGAAAATGAAAAGACTATCCAAGAAAAATATACACGGTGAGGTAGTTTTGAGCAAAAATTCAAAACAGGTTAAAAACTGAAATATCTAAAAAAAAAAGTATATCTTACATGGTTATAATTTTTTTAAAGCCTGTGAAAAAGACAAACCTTTGGAGTATCTAAAACTATAGACATAAGAAATTTGGAAAAAATAGTAGCGTAGCAAAAAGTTGAAAAAAATTACCTAAAGTTCTTGTTAATCGATTTTTGACAATTTTCAAGTGTCCATAGTTTTAAATATTCCAAAAGTTTTAAATTTTACGAGATGTTTAAGAAAAATATTTAAATAAAAATTAAAAATATACTTATTGTGATATTTGCGTTTTTAACATTTTATTTGTATTTCTACTCAGCAGTACTAAAAAAATATCGCGTATATTTTACTCAGAAAGACTTAATTTTTCGCTACAACTATCTCCCAGACGGCATTTCGATCAGAAGTGATGTTTTCGTGCTACAAATTTATTGAAAAATGGCACAAACGAAATTTTGAAAAAACTTAGGTCATCCAAAAAGAAAGAATTTTTATAAAAATGTGAATGATTGTTCAGAACACACTGTTAAACAAAGTTTTATGCAAATCGGAGAGGTACCCATTTATATATTTCGACTACAATCTGCAGTCTTACCACTAAAGATCTACTATCTAAGCTATTTGGGATTTTTCCTTGTTAAAGAGTTGTTTAGATTTTCCATCTTCACTTGAATCTTGGGTTATTATTTAGATAGGTTCAGATTCTGCACGTATTTCACCTGAGCCTGACATGTTTATCCCTTTGTTTGCTCATATGAGTATTCCACTAACAACTCAATTTCATAACTTTCGTTTTCTACATGTTTTTTTCTACTCATATAATTGAACATTACCGTTGAAGGAAGTGCCTCGTTTAATAAAAAAGTTACGACCAAATTTCTCCAAAACTAAAATAATTTTCAATTGTTGATATCTTCAGTTGGAGAAAAAAAGGCGATACATTTCTAGATAAACATTTCAAAAGGTCCTTTCTGCATTGATCGATTCTCTTCATCGTCTTTCTATTTCGTCAATAACTCAGCTACAAAACCTGTCCCTGTTGTATTTGACGTTTTGGACGCTAGATAAGAACCTCCTTTATCAAATTATGTGGTAGAATTAGCGCGAAATCTATTTGCATAGCAGTGGCTATGAACAGAGAAAGTCGATGAAGAGAATCGATCAAAGCAGATAGGACCATTTGAAATGTTCATCGAGATTTCTTGTATCAAGGCTTCAGCATATTTTGTTGGTGAAATGAAAGCATTATAGTGCGAAATACGTACATTCATATTTATGTCAATAAAATTAGTATTTTCTAAACATAAAATTATAAATTTCCAAAAAAAAAAAGGAGTTAGCAAATTGTGTGCATGAGCAAAAACATGCGTAATTTTTGCGTAGTTCTGAAGGAATTTAGAATGCATCATTTAAGATAAATCAATGCTTAATCCAAATTAATTAATTGATTAATCAAAGCTTAATATAAACCATGAACCTACCTAGATAGAAAATTTATTTTTTGAGTAAAGTTACATCAAATAAATAGTTCTACAACTCTGTGGTACATTATAAAGGTGGATTCAAAGTTGTTAAAGAGTTGAAAAAGAATTTTACATATGATTCACCCAAATGTCCAAAGTAACGAACAAGACAAAAGGACCTTTTTTATATTATTTCTAAATTATTAGGAACAGAGCGTCACATTGAACTCGCCGGACTTCATAGCCAAAACTGCAATTAGCTAAACTGTACGTTTTAGTATTTTTGAGCCACCAAATGATTAATAGCTTGCTCGGAAGTCATCAGGAATTTGACCTTTCAACGTAAAATTTGCATCTTCTTAACATAGTCATTGTGAGCTTGGCCAACTTAACTACCAGCTCGGTGGCGATAAATGGCTTGGGGACAAGGGATCATACTGTCGCGGCCGAAAAGAACATTTTCCACCATTTCTACCGATGGTCATTGCAGCACGAAGAGTGTCTACTCGCAAACAATAGCCTTTGTCATCTGGTTAAAAAAGCCCTGTTTTACGAAATCTTGTTTTTAGAAAAGAATAA